CCCGAAACCCTAAACCCTAAACCTGTAGGATTTAAAGGTTTGGGGTGTAAGGCTTAGGGGTTCAGGGGCTTAGGGGGCCATGGCTTTTATGGTTTAGGGCTTTGGGATGCAACGTCTCGCGCCGCCATCGCCCTTGTTCTAAGGCTTTGGCGGTCGCAGGGTCTTTTACACATGGTCCCTTCGCTACATTTTATAGGGTTCTTAAGGGAGGGGGGGGGGGGTTCAAGGGGGTTTTTAGGGTTTAGGGCTTAGGGTTTAGGGTTTGGGGCTTGTTCATGGGGGTAGGTGCCTAGGGAACCTAAAGGAAGCTTAGGGAGCCTTAGGGAGTGGTGGGGAGTGTGAGGGAACCTTGGGTTACATACCCCCCCTTGAACCCCGCGCCCTTAAGAACCCTGTAAACATTGCAGTCCCTTTCGGGGAAGCGATTTTGAGGCGGCCCCTAAGGCTTCGGGTACCCGAAAAGGACCAAGGGTTTAGGGTTTAGGGTTTAGGGTTTGGGGTTTGGGGTTTGGGGTTTAGGGTTTAGTTTGGGGTTTGGGACAACTGACCATATAATGCTTCAGGCAACTTTTGAGCCTGAGGGCTCGAAATCTAAAAGCCAAAGACTGACAGGCTCTATGCACTGAGGCGCGCGCGCTCCCAGTTTTTAGCACTGAGGCTCGAAATAGCACAAAAATCTTTAACATAACCCTAAGCCCTACACCCTGAACCCTAGACCCTAAGCCCTAAACCCTTTGGGCACCCGAAACATCATAGTAAGAGCCCATGGAGCCTTAGTCTATACTCCCCTTAGAACCTTAATAACAATAACATCTTTCATATCTCTTGGGTTTTATCTGAACAAAAAAAACCCAAGGGGGAAATAGTAGGAAACTTCGGGGCAAGCGGTTGTCACTGGCCTTCCTCTTCCAAGTTGTTTATTGGGACCTAAACCCTAAACCCTAAACCCTAAACCCTAAACCCTAAACCCTAAACCCTAAACCCTAAACCCTAAACCCTAAACCCTAAACCCTAAACCCTAAACCCGAGCGCTTCGCGGAGCTCCCATTTTACAGCAGGGGTTTAGGGTTTAGGGTTTGGGGTTTCGGGTTGAGGGCTTAGGGTTCAGGGTTTCAGGTATACCCTTGGGCTCAAAATAGCTCAAAAACCTTTCAGAATAAAGCCTAAGCCCTTCAATCCCGAAACCCTTCAAACCCTAAGCCCTTCAAACCCGATAACCCTGCAACCCCTAATTAACCTTCATACCCGAAGCCCTTCAAACCCTAAACGCTAAACCCGAAACCCTTCTTTAAACCCGAAGCCCTTGAAACCCGAAACCCTTCAAGCCCTAAACCTTCAAGCCCAAAACCCTAAACCCTAAATCCCAAACTGTTCAAACCCTAGACCCTAATCCCTTCAAACCCTAAACCCTAAACCCCAACTACCTTCCGCAGGCCTGTAGCTCTCCGCGAGCTTGTCCGCGTCCTCCGCTGTGGTCTTCGGGCCTCGGCGGCCGCCACGGCTGTGAGGTTGGGACTTGGGGGGTTTAGGGTTTAGGGTTATTGGGGTTTAGGGTTGATAGGGTTTAGGGTTCAGGGTTTAGGGTTAATAGGGTTAATAGGGTTAATAGGGTCAATAGGGTCAATAGGGTTAATAGGGTTTTATAGGGTTTTATAGGGTTTTATAGGGTTTTATAGGGTTTTATAGGGTTTTATAGGGTTTTATAGGGTTTTATAGGGTTAATACGGTTTAGGGTTCGGGGCTTAGAGTTTAGGGCTCAGAAAACTGCAGGTGAGGAATTGCCCGGCATTACCAGATCAAGGGTTCTTGCGGGGGTTTAGACTTGAATTCAGGGGCTTTAGGAGTTTTAGGGTCTTGTGGGGGTTTTAGGGGTTGGGGTAAGGCTTAAAAACCCCAGACCTAAACCCTAAACCCTAAACCCTAAGCCCTAAACCTCTGAACCAAGAAACCACGAACCCAACGCAAGCCTGATGACTAAGAGGCAGACGCTGGCCACCTCGACTGTATCCTGACCATGGGTTTTCTTCTTACTGTTGGTTAGTAGGGATTGGGGTTTAGGGTTTAGGGTTTTAGTTCAGGGTTCAGGGTTGGGCGAATGAGGTAACCTATATAATCCCTGATTCCCTCATTCCCTGCTAACCAACAGTAGTTAAGTTTTTCGAAGGAGCCAGCTCCACACGAGGGCAGTTCTCAGAAATTTGAGATTTAGGAGATTGAGGGTATAAAATAGCAGCAGGGTGTAGTTATAACCGGTGCTTCAAACGTAGGAACTATACTTGGCTGCACTTAGGAGGGTAGCAAAAAACTCAACTTTTAGCTGCCTTATCAAGACACCCAGTAAACCCAAAAAGGCTAAAGATCTAAAGTTACAGGAAAGTACCACAAAGTATAGTGGTTGATTCAGATTATCGCGCCCAGGCGTAGGGATCGATCCGCCGCAAGTACACCGGGCAGGCACCTACACCGAAAACGCTGCAAACCCTGTAAACCCTCTAACCCTAAACCCTAAACCCCCAAGGCCTGCAGGTTTCACAAATCTTCCTTGAGCCGGAATGCACGTGAAAGGAAGCGTTATTGCGAGTGCTGAAGTCTCTTTTGGGTTTGAGGTTTGGGGTTTAGGGTTTAGGGGGCGAGTGGGTTTAGCGATTGGGGTACCCATTCCGGAAAATGGCACCACGAAAGACCCTCGCTGGAGGCAAGGTCATCTAAACCCGAAACCCGAAACCCGAAACCCGAAACCCTAAACCCTAAACCCTAAACCCTAAACCCTAACCCCAAACCCTAACGAACAAAACTTGTCAAGCAGCCTGCCTTGCTGCAGCCATTCCGGGCCGAGTGCAGCCGCACCAAGGTTCGTCAGTCTCTCCTTGCTTGACGGTTCAACAAGGGTACCTTGAAGTATGATATGGTAGGGTTTAGGGTTTAGGGTTTAGGGTTTAGGGTTCAGGGTTCAGGGTTCAGGGTTCAGGGTTTAGGGTTGGGGGTTTGGGGTTTAGGGCTTAGGGTTTAGGCCCAAGGGTCCGTGTAAGTAGGCTGATAAGAACTAACTAAGGTTCGAACCATGGTTACCCTACCCTAAACCCGAAACCCTAAACCCTAAACCATAAACCCTAAACCCTACTTATAACCCTACTTATGAGTACCCATGAACCTCCCAAGGAGAGCTTCGCGTTCGAAGCTTTAGGGGGGCCTGGGATGCTTAGGGTCCAAAACCCTAAACCCTAAACCCTCAACCCTAAACCCTAAACCCTAAACCACGTGAATGAAGCTCCTGTGGCATTCGACTGAAGCACGCGCTCCCTCCTGCCAGGGAGTACCTGGTTTCAGGTTTGCGAATCAGGAATCAGGGTTTACTTGGAAGGTTCATGGCACTTAGTAACCCAACTATAACTGTACTAACAACCGAAATAAAACCCTATTGGGGTACTTGAGGGGCGATAGGGTTTTCGTGTTTCAGGTTTAAGGTGGCGCCCCAAGCAATGCCACTTCTCCATGTAGTAGTCCTGCTTTTCAACCCTGAATATGGGGCAGGGGGGGGGGGGGGGCAAAATATTCAATAAAGGGAGACCGAAAAAAACCGTAATATTGAGAATTGCCATGCCTTGCAGGTTCAGGGAGGAAACTATTTAGCTAGGACTTTCTATACCTTGATCTTGCTATACCTGAAGTTGGATGCTCTTGTACGCTTATTACTACCCAGGATTCCGTAAAGCCTGAACCCCAAACCAAAACTCACTAGTGCTTCGGGCTTCGAGTTTTGTGACTTGCCCTGTCAAGAGACCTCTCCAAAACAAATCTTCAAATCTTCAGATTTCTCCACTACATGCATCAAGAATACGATGCTCAACACACATGGGGGTTTCCCAAAAACACGGGACCCCCAAAAAAGACGAGCAACTAGTAGAATCCCCTTAGAATAAGGACCCCATCTAAGGCGCCCCCTAATTTCGTGAACCCCCACATCGCAAAACGCGCTCACAAAGTAGTCCCGAGGCCTTGAGGGCCCTACAGAACAGGGGTCCCTGGAAGTAGAGGCATCATAAACCCTTAATCCTAATCCTTGAGCCTAAACCCTACCCTAAACCCTAAACCCTAAACCCTGAACCCTGAACCCTGAACCCTGAACCCTGAACCCTGAATCCTAAACCCTAAACCCTAAACCCTGAACCCTGAACCCTGAACCCTAAACCCTAAACCCTAAACCCTAAACCCTAAACCCTAAACCCTAAACCCCACCCTCCAAGGAAGAAGCCCGGGCCTGACTGACCAAAGTGACTTGCCGCGTGTGGCCACGTGATGGGGAGTCCCTTCTTTCCGCTTGTTTTTTTTTTGACGTGTCTCTCTTCTTTTGCGCAAGCTTTTGTTGATGTTTTAGCTTCTGTTGCGTAGATTCTACCTGAGTTTTTTCGAAGCACTTCGGCGCAAGGGATCCATGTTGCTCACGTGCTGCTCACTTGGGGCATATTCTGTCTCTCGGCTGGCGGGTGGCTGACAAACTCGAGCCTGAAATACGGCAGTGCTCGCTATCTCGGCGGGGCAGAGCACACTTTCGACAGAAGCTCCCAACCCTAAACCCTAAACCGAGCCCTATAAACCCTAAACCCTAAACCCTAACCCTAAACCCTAATCCCAAAACCCAAAACCCAAAACCCTAAACCCTACACAGCACGGCCCACCTCTGTCTACCTTTCTCAGATGAGCCGGTTTCTCCTTCAGTGGGGCAGGCTGCCATTGAACAGCCTTGCAACTCCAAAGCGTTGTGCACGACGGGGGTGCTTTTCCGCCACTCTGTAGCGCAGCACAGGAAGCAGAAAGCAGAGATAAAGACTCATGAAAGTTTTCGGCCATAGAGGCGAAGCATAGTAAGATCCTAAACGCTGTGCCCTACACCTAAACCCTAAACCCTAAACCCTAAACCCTAAACCCTAAACCCTAAACCCTAAACCCTAAACCCTAAACCCTAAACCCTAAACCCTAAACCCTAAACCTCAAGGAGGGTCTCACCGCCTGGTCGGTCGCACCAGGTTTGCAACTGCAATCGCCTGTCCGAATTCACTGTCTGCAGCCTTGGCAACCTGTCAGCCCAAGGTTGCTTAGAGTTTAGGGTTTAGGGTTTAGGGTTTAGGGTTTAGGGTTCAGGGTTTCTTCGTAAACCAACTATAAGCGCAGTTATCGCCCACGTATAAGCCCCCTAAGTACCCTAATGGGGTTCAATATTTGGGGCTATAAGTAACCTGTCAGCACGAGGTTGGCTCTGTCAGGGAGCACTCGGAAGCCCTGTTGACTTCGTAAGCAGGGTTAGCATGTTGGGTTAGGGGGATAAAGGTTTCTAGGGGAGACTTTAAGACTTACGAAGCAAAAGAGCTTCCCAGCAGTGCCACAACCTCATGGGAAGTCTGAGGGTTCGTTGCTTAGGAGTTGTAGGGTCTACAGGGCTCTTGCAGTGGTACGCAGCAGGTTCGTGAGAGGCCCTTGTGGGTGAACGGAGTTTTCTAAATTTCGTGCCCTTATGCGGATCATGACTTGGAGAACTGCCCATTGTGGTTATCTTGTGTGCTCGTTGAGCACACTGTAGCACAAGATGACAACTCACTTCTCCGAAAAGCCAAGAAATAGAAATGTAAGCAATCTAAAGTTAAACTATGGGCTAGATAAGGAAGACAAGAAATGGACCTACCCAAGCCGGGAACGCCTGAGTTCTATCCCCCAAAAAAAGTGGGTTTGAGGATTAAACCCTGTAACCTATAACCCTGAAACCCGAAACCCTCAACCCTACAACCCTTAAATCCCAAACCCCTACATGGAGGCTCAGGGTACTTAGTAACCCAATTATAGCTATTTTCACTGTACTTTTTGCCCAATTTCTAACCCCAATGCGGCACTTCAGGGGCTTATGAATGGGTTATAACTACACTTATAGTTGGGTTATAAGTACCCTGAACCTCCAAGTATCCTAAACCCTAAACCCTAAACCCTAAGCCCTAAGCCCTAAACCCTAACCCCTAAACCCTAACCCCTAAGCCCTCAAAGCGGTCAACTTCCGACCTCCGCAGTGGCGCCCAGCGCCCAAATTTCTGCCTGGCAGGCATCGAGCATCACGCGCCCCGTGAGGCCGTCCGTCACCTCAGGGTGGCTTTTAAAGGGGTTTTAGGGTTTAGGGTTTTGGGGTTTCGGGTTTAAGGTTTAGGGTTTGGGGTTTAGGGTTAAGGGTTTGGGTTTGGGGTTTCGGGTTTAGGGTTTGGGGTTTAGGGTTTAGGGCTAAACCCTACACACTGAACCCGAAAGCCTATACGAGGTTCTAGAGGTCCGGTCAGGGTGTCGGGAGCAGCGACCGGAATTTCGCATTTTCCTGGGGCGGGTCTCACCGATCTGTGCTCGGGTGACGAAGCCGGTTTAGGCTTTACGGTTTTCGGTTCTGAAACCCGAAACACGCTAACACACAAACGCAAGCAACCTCGACAACCTTTGAAAACACTGCGAAAATTCTCCGCGCGCTGGAGGACACCGTGCGTAAAACCCTAAACCCTAAACCCTAAATCTTAAACCCTCAACCCCCCCCCCCCCTCGCCCCACCCTACCCCACCGCACCCACCTTGCCACCGGCCTGCAGGGGTGTGTCGGCGTAGGAGCTAGGTTTACAGCTCAGGGTTTAGAGTCCAGGCTTTGAGGTTCTCAATTGCATTGAGGGTTTGTAGAAACCCTTTAGGGTTTAGGGTTTAGGGTTAGGGTTTAGGGTTTAGGGTTTAGGGTTTAGGGTTTAGGGTTTAGGGTTTAGGGTTTAGGGTTTAGGGTTTAGGGTTTAGGGTTTAGGGTTTAGGGTTTCGGGTTTAGTGTTTAGGGTTTAGGGTTTAGGGTTTCGGGTTTAGTGTTTAGGGCTTAGGGCTTAGGGCTTAGGGTTTAGGGCTTAGGGTTCTTAAGGAAGGGGGGTTGAAGGGCTAGGTAACCCAAGGTTCCCTATGTAATGCTCCCCACTCCCTCAGGCTCCCTAAGCTTCCCAAGGTTCCCTCTTTTCTAAGGTTGCCTTTGGGAGCTGCTCCATATTATGGGTCTTGAGCTGCCAAAAGCCTAGGCACTGAGCGCAGTCAACCCTAAACCCTAAACCCTAAACCCTAAACCCTAAACCCTAAACCCTAAACCCTAAACCACAAGCGAGGAGCTGAGCTGGGGAGTTTGGGGCTTCGGGAAGTTCTGGAGGATGAAAGACGCATGATTTCCATATTAAATTTTTGGGCTTTTAACGGGGTGCTCTTTGTATTCTCTTTTTATGCGCCCCTTAAGCACTATTATCTTCTTTCAACTAATCTCAACAGATACAAATGAATGAAATGAACGCGTGATCTGTGAATTTGCGAAAGAAAGAAGATAATAGGGGAAAAAGGGTGTCATAAAGGAGAACACGAAGACAATACTTTTTAATGGGTTTTTTTGACCAATCATCGGTTAACCCTTGATTTGTGGTTCGCCAAGGATAACAGGTCTTGAATCCCAAGAGCTCCTACAAAAGGAAACTGATGGCACCTCCATGTCGGCTCACTTGTTGCGTTCTTAATATTACTACGGCCTTCACGCTTCATTGCATTACATTGTAAGCCCTTGCAATATTATTCACTTCACCTTTAGGACAGCATATTAGTACTACGGTGAGAGAATACAGTGAGTGAGTACACGCGCCTATATATTACAAGCGAGCGAAGTGAATGCGCGAGGGGGCCGGAGCCACACGAGACTGTAGAACTTCCACCTGCAGCCAAAGACAACCTAGCCCTTTGAGGCAACGTTTCAGGAAAAATACAAGAAGCAACCAGCGCTTAGGGTTTAGGGTTTGGGGTTTAGGGTCTGGGGTTAGGGTTTCGGGCTTAGGGGCCATTTTTGTGTTTGCTTACAGGGGTGGGGCATAGGATGTGTGGCAAAACGATGGGTGCTAACAAAGACCCCGTGCCAAGACACCGAGGTAAAGTCCGTCCCAGCTCTGTGGTGGATACTTGGAAGTTCATGGTACTTAGTCACCCAATCGTTGATTTTGTTTTACCCGGCATGATTCTCACCGGCCTATATATTCATATACACATGAATACATAAATAAGTATAAATATATACATATATGTATATGTTTACACATTTATTCATTCTTTCCGCAGGATTGAGGAATTAACGTGAGGGGGTCAAAGCCAGCGAGACCAGCGCCTCCACATAGTCCACAGGAGAGGGCAGGTAGTGATTGAGCTCCAGCACGAAGCGAGCCAGCCACTTGCCCATGGATTCGAATAGACCTCATGCACAACACGAATCCTGTTCTTCGACCCAGCTGTTCACCCAGGGCTTAGGAGCAGTGTTTAGGGTTCGGGGTCCAGGGTTTGGGGTTTTGGGTTTAAGGCTTAGGGTTGAGGGTGATTAAGCCCTAAAGCAAAACCCGAAACCCTCCGCTTAAAACTTGCCAGGGAATTTTGCTACTGGGACTTGAGGCTGACTGTGCAGAATCGAAACCTGCGATGCCTGCGACTTCCAAAGGTTTTGTTTGGGGTTTAGGGTTTAGGGCTCATGAGAAGTTACAAGTAGGGCAGGAAAGAGCCCCAAGTATGCTGGGAACTAGAGCTGTAGCTTGCCTTACAATACAGCCACAGTTGTCTCGACACACCAAGTCGGCTAAGGGGGGGTGATGTTGACTGGCTTAGGGTGCAGTGCTTAGGGTTTAGGGCGTAGGGCCAATGATAGGTTCCCCAACCATCCGTTCCCAAGAAACTGAAGGGCGTTTGATTTCGATGTCTACCAGCGACCAACGCAAAGCCAAGGCGAACAGAAAAGCACCCTTCAGTTGAGGCCCGGTTCAAGGTTAACGGCTTAGGGTTTGAGGTGTGTGCCTGGGTGGGGGGGCTGCGCGGGGGGGGGGGGGGGGGGGGGGGGGGGGGGGTGTTGATAAAGCCCTAACCCCTAACCCCTAAACCCTAAACCCTAGACCCTAACCGCCCTAACCCCAAAGCCCTAAACCCTAAGCCCTAAACCCGAGACCCTGGGGAGCGCGCCCCTGGAAAACTCGTTGAGGTCCTTCTTCTGCATCGCCACCAGCGCGGCTCGTTGCTCAGCCTTGCCGCTGATCATTTCCTGAGAATTTGTCGGATCCCCCCAGAAACCGTATAGTGGTATAACTGCAGAACCACCCTAAACCCTAAACCCTAAACCCTAAACACTAGACCCAAGAGTCCCTCGGAACAAAAAAGGGGCACCCTTGTTTGGTTTGAAGGGGCCTGTAAGGGAACCGAAACCCACCCCGGGTCCTAGAAAAACTATGCTGTTTAGGGCTTACAAAAGGGTTTATCTTGGCTGACTTCTGACCTCCTTACTAAAAGTTTAACTTTCAGGCTCCCCCATCGTACCTGCCACAAAAGCTGAAAAGGTAAAAGTCCCAAGAGCCAGCCGCAAGAAAGCCAAGTTATGGGCCGCAAGGCCTGCAGGGCACGCGGCCTTCGTCAAAAGGTCGGTGCCGCCAATTACAGAAACAGCCGCCGCACCCACACAGAACCCTACACCCTAAACCCTATGCCCTAAACCCCAAAACGGAAAACGGACCCAGAAGAGCCCAACCGAAACCTTAAACTAGACGTTGAAGAGCCTCTTCTCTGCGCCAAGACTCCCCACCCCCGGCTGCCTCAAGTAGGCTCATGAGGGGGACCGGGTTGCAGGGGTTTAGGGTTTAGGGTTTGGGGCTTAAGGGGCCCCACCCGTGTTTAACCCTAAACCCTAAACCCGAAACCCTAAACCCGTCGGGGACTTTGGGATGTTGAAGGTTCAGGCTCAAGCTTCTGAATTCTGCGCCCAACGCCAAGAGGAAACCCCATGTAATTGCGGATTTTGGAAAATAGGGGTGCCCTTTTTGGGTCCCCCTTTCAAGGATTCTATTCTATTTAGGGTATACAAGGGGGTATCCCCAATTTGGGAAATACCCACTTGACTGAAAGGGCACGGATATTTGGCTGCACTCAGAAGGGTAGCTATAGATTAAACTCTTAGCTGCCACATTCAGAAACCCAATAAACCCAAAAAGGCCAGAGCTAAAGTTACAGTCGCAACAACGAGGCAGAACGCATGAGGACGAAGTGCGCGCATGCAGAAAGCCTTGTGTATAAGTATATAGCTTGTTGTGTGAATAGAATTCTGGGGCTGTGGGTTCGGGTTTACGGTTTAGGGTTTGGGGTTTAGGGTCTAGGGCTCAGATTTAGGATGCAGGGTTTACGGCTATGTGCGCTTCGGGCGTGGTGGTGTACGCCCAGTCCTCAGGGAAGAAGTCGTCCCCACATGGTTGTTTAGGGTTTAGGGTTTAGGGTTTAGGGTTTAGGGTTTAGGGTTTAGGGTTTCGGGGTTTTAGTGATGGGGTTTAGGGCTTCGGGCCCACCCCAGGCCCCAAACCCTCCTTAAACCCTAAAACCCCAAACCCTGAGTCCCTCAACCCTAAACCCTAAATCCTAAACCCTAAACCCTGAGTCCCTGAAGCCAGGAGGCCAGGAGGTTGAAAAAGGCGCGCTGCGTACCGGCCATGCCCTGGGCAGCTCCTTCGACCAAGAGGCCTGGACTTTTTGGGGTTGTGGGGGTATCAGGAGTTTAGGGTTTAGGGTTGCAGGGTTTAGGGTTTAAGGTATAGGGTTTAGGGTCTAGGGTCTAGGGTTTAGGGTCTATGTCTAGGGTCGTGGGGCTGCGCTGCGTCGCAGACAGCTGCGGCGATCTGGGGCTCCATGCAACTTGAGCACTACTTTGGAGGTTCCGGATACTTATAGCCCAATTTTTAGGGTTTAGGGTTTAGGGTTAGAAACTTAGCCATAACCCGCTTATGAACCCCTTAAGTGCCCTAACAGGGTTAGAAATGGGTAAGACGTACAGCTCTAGTTGGGTTCATGAGTACCATGAACCTCCACCCGTCATAGCCAGCGTCGTGCTGATGTTCGTGCTTTTTCGGTCTGACTACATATGCAATTATCAACCCGGGTCTCTAAACCCTAAAGCCGCAAACTAAATCTCAAGTGTTGGGATCTGGCTGGATGCAGTCCAGAACTTGATGATCAGGAATTGGGCCTTTCGGCAGGCTCAAGTAGAAAAACCAACCATTTCCTAACAGCTCTTGGTTTACTAGACCCAAGAGGAACCTAGGAATAGAAAGGGCGCCCTTCTGAATTAAAAGGGCCTTATAAGGGGAACCAAAACCCCCCAAAAAAGGGGGAATAAGATCCTGCTCTGGTTCCTAGTTTACATAGGGTTTAGGGTGCAGGGTTGAGGTTCTTGAGAGTTGTGCCAGCTGCAGCTGTGTTGCAGTCGTGCACAGGAACCATGCCACCTAAGATGCGTTCGTTTAGGGTTTAGGGTTTGGGGTTTGAGGTTTAGGGGTTAGTTTAGGGTAACCTCGATTGGCCACGAGCCAGAACTGCACAAACGACCGATAACTTCGAAAACGAGATGGACGAAACAGCAGCCAGGTTGCTTTCTGAGTCCCTGAGACCCATAACGACCTTCCCCAGTTCCAGAACGCCCTCGCAGCACTGACCATTCCAGACAATGCCTGGGTCAGGGTTCATTCCCACAAACAAACTAACAGACGTGATTGCGTTAACCGCCCGTTGTAAGGGCTAACTTCCCGAAAGGTAGTCCTGATGGCCAAATGGAACTCAAACCTCGAAGAAAAGCGCCTACAATGCAGGGGGCTTGCCTAGAGCATCCCTTTGCCCAAGAGCATAAAAATTTCTTGCTAGTATACCATCTACGGCCCTTGTACTTTTTCAAGGTTACACTGAGCTAGGTAGGGCTTGAGACAACAAGGGCTACAAGAACTACCTTAAACCCTACATCCTAAACCCTAAACCCTAAACCCTACACCCTAAACCCTAAACCCTAAACCCTAAACCCTAACCCTAAACCCTAAACCCTACACCCTATTCCCGCCTCCGGCGAGGCCAGTGCCGCAGGACAGAAACAGTCCCACTCGCCCCTCTGCCAGACCGTCGGCCCCATACAGCGCCTTTCAGAGACAAGTCGGGAGGGTTTAGGGTTTAGGGTTTAGGGTTTAGGGTTTAGGGTTTAGGGTTTAGGGTTTAGGGTTTAGGGTTTAGGGTTTAGGGTTTAGGGTGGCCAGGGCTCTGGCGTTGAAGCTTCTAGGGTTTCGGGGTTAAAGCAATTGTGGGCTTTCGGAGGTCTAAGGCGCAACTGGGCTTAGGAGCTGTTGGGGTTACACGGTGGATTCTTACATCTGGGAGGGTAAGGCTGGAAATGGTGCAGTCGCAAGACAAGGCAGGACATCTACGTACCTGAATGACCAGGCTCGCTGGATTAAACAGAGCAGTAGATGGGATTCACCCTAGACCCTAAACTCTCTAAACCCTAAACCCTTTCGCACAATGATCGGGATGGTTGCTCTCCATGCAGATCTCTGTTTGACAGAGAACCGACACACAGCAGCTAATCGACCGCTCCTTGCGGTGCTTGTGGGCTGCTATTTAAAACTCTCAAGGCAGCACCCTAAACCCTAAACCCTAAACCCTAAACCCTAAACCCCGAAACCCCTAAACCCCTAAACCCTAATCCCTAAACGCTAAACCCTAAACCCTAAACCCTAAAAGCGCGTTGCGTTCGCAACTTCAGAAGGCAGGTTGTAGTTTGTACGGTTGTGGGTAAGCTGTTGATGAGTGCTGACACCGTCCTAGACGGTTGCCTGCAACTCTGCCTGTTTACAACCATGACTAAGACGTACTAGTCAATCCAGAAACTCACGTTCTAATCTTTTACGTATGTATATGTTCGTCAGCGTTCGGGCTTGAGGTGAATAACTCATCGTTGAGCAGAGCAGAGGGGGACCCTAGTTGGGGTAGCTTGCAAGACATCCGCCTGTAAGATCTGCCTTCACTTCTAGGGTATGGCGAGCTTTTTGGTACGGTTCTATGAGACCCCAAGAACTCCAACATTGCGAAGGGCCCGTACTGCCGAGAAGATTTGGAGTCCACCAATTAGGCGGCTGGCGTACACGCACATGTCCTCGCATGCGCCACGCTCTGAGGGCGGTGCATGCTCACAACTGGTAACTTGAAGGCTCAGGGTACTCGAAACCCAATGATACGTGCGGTCCACTTGCAAGCCTCTCAAGCCCTCTAACAGGGGTACACATTCGTATATTTGTTATGAGTACAGTCATGATGCTAGAAATGGGTTAACAAGTACCATGAACCTGCAAGGGCAGTGACTAAACTCAGACAGAAAACGTGGCCTGGTGGTGCTGAAGTACCTGCCAAACCGACCTGGAGCTAGCGAGCTGGACAGGCAGACGCCCACGCTCATTGCAAAGTTCAGGGTCTGCCTGGGCTTCCAGGAGCATCTGCACCAGGTCGCTGGCACCGAAAAAGCAGGCAAAGCCTAAGGGAGTCGTAGACCACTCGGCAAAGAGCTGCACCATGCGCGGAGCTCTGTGGCCGCTGGCTCTCACGCCTGCTCTGCAGATCAACTCCACTGCACGCCAGGCACCGGAACTGTGATACTGGATGTTCACGTCAGCTCGTGCTTCGAGGAGCATAGCTGCCACCTCCAAGGCGTGTGGGTTGGTGGAGGCCCGCCAAGGCAGTATTGCCAGGGGGTGCACACAGGCAAAAGGGCTACCCGCCGGATTCACGCGCGCCCCATGTTCGAGAAGGGACGCGACCACGGATGCAGGAGCAGCAATGGCACACGCCAAGGAGAGAGCCGGAACCTTGGTGGATCCGCTTTGCTGATTTACATCAGCCCGGTGCTGGATCAGGAGCTTCACCTGAGTTGTGCCTATTAAAAGCCCTTTGAAAACTATTTATGAAGAGGTTCCCTTATCAGGGTAGAAGGGAAATTAAGCAGTGTCTCCAAAGCACAACCCAGCCACTGTATGGGGCGACTTGCAGTATCCCAGAGTGGGGTCGCCGAAGCCTGTGGTGGCATTCACTTCTGCCTTCTGTTCCAAGAGGCTCATGAGGACAGAGTCGCAACGCCATCCCAGCATCGCTGCAAGCAACAGAGGTGGCAGGTCTTCGTAAATACCTTGGTAGCCCAGAAACCATATTATGTTAATAAAGGGTACGCCTTTTTGGGGGTTGGCTAATGTCTAAGGGAACCTTGAAGCAAAACAAACAAAAAGGAAAAAAGGCACCACATGGGCTGTACCAGGATACTCACCTGCTTGAGGGCGCCGATGGGCCTGTTCACATCCTTGGTAACCCAGGAACAGAATTATACTAAGGGCACCCTTTTTTGGGCTGGCTATTTTGTAAGGGAACTGGAATTTAGGAAACTATTATTTGTGTCTAAAACCTCTTTCTTCTATAGATGAATAGAATTTTATGTTCGACAATGAATCTATAATCTCAATATATCAATATATTCTTTGGTGATAGAAATTTTATTCTTTGGTGATAGAAATTTAATGAATTTCTTTTTATAAAATATTTTATGGTGAGAAATTATTCTTTATTGAATTGGGTCTCTTTTTATTAATGATCGCATTATTTTCTAAGAATTTCTGGAGTCTCTTAAGATTTCGAATTATTCTATGACTAAAATTGTGGATTTATCATATAAATGAGACTCTTGTCCCAAAACTGATAATTAAGATTGACGGGCGATTTTCCCATAACCAAAAAATAAGTAAAGGGCACCACTGGGCTACCAAGCATCCACCCCAGCTTCGCACAGCGCCGGGATCATCTGAGCATCGCCCGAAAGAACGGCGCAAGCCATCGGAGACATCGCCTCGCCCCGGCAGGACCTTGGTAGCTTTAGGGTTTAGGGTTTATAGGGTTTATAGGGTTTATAGGGTTTATAGGGTTTATGGGGTTTATAGGGTTTAAAGGGTTTATAGGGTTTATAGGGTTTATGGGGTTTGTAGGGTTTAAAGGGTTTATGGGGTATATAGGGTTTATAGGGTTTAGGGTTTACAAGGCACAGTAACCATATTATCATAAGGGCACCCTTCTTTGGCTAGCTTGTTTTTTTTTTTTTTTTTATAAGGGAGCCCATAACCCCCAACAAAAAGGGTGAAGGGTACCACTGGGCTGCCAAGGGACTTGAGGGACTTGAGTTTGAAGTCTTTCAGGAAGGTCTCTGGGCTGCGCCGTTTGCATGGCAGTCCCAGGAGGGTCTCATACCTGGCGACATAGTAGCGGAAGACGGCGCGCTCCTTGGAGACTTGTGAAGAGAAGATCTTGCTCTTCAAGGCTTTCCTCATGGCCTGGAACACGGGCTCGCGGTCGGCTGCATAGGTAAAGTCGCCCTCGTGCGGAGGACTGTCCTAAGTTGTCCAGTACCTAGGAGTTTTAAAGGTAAACCTTGGGGATTCTAAGGGGAATTTGAACCCAAAAAGGTTAAAGGTTACCTACTCTACTGCTAAGTGTCGATCCAGAGCATCGGCAAGACAAATTCGATGTGATCCGGGGCCGAGATCAGGACGGCGGGCATCTTCACGTCAGCACACATCCTATACTCCCCTTAGAACCCTAAACCCTAAACCCTAAACCCTAAACCCTAAACCCTAAACCCTAAACCCTAACAAGAATAATTAATGTGTTTAATCTACTCTTGGGTTTTATATAAAAACAAAAAACAAAATGATTCCCAAGGGGGATATAGCATCATCTTGCACCAGAGCTCTAGCCGGCACCACCCCCTCCTGCACCAGCTCGCAAAGCCGCAGCGGCGGTCGGCGGCCGTGTGCCGGCAGGGTGGGGCAAGCACCACAAACATGTCAGACATCTCCACGTAGTCGGGGATTCTCTGGATAAACATGTCGGAAGAGAGCTGCCGTGTCCACTGGCTCCCAAACATGAGGCTCATGTCACCGTCAGGGACTGCGCCGTCAGAGGAGATCGACATCGCCCTCTGCTGCGCAAAGTCACTTTGCGGGATGCTGAACCAATCCATCCAGATGTAGGCTCCTTTCAGGCTCGCGCGGTGCCGCTGGCCGAAGTTCGCCCGCTGAAGGAAGAACTGCGCGTAGAGGTCTTTCCCGATGGGGCTGCCCTTCATAAGCCTTTACTCCCCTTAGAACCTGAAAAAAGAATAATGTTTGTAATATCCTCCTGGGATCTCTTGGGTTTTATATGAAACAAAAGCATAATTCCCAAGGGGGATATAGAAGCTTCTGCAAGGCATCCTGGAGGATGGGAAGTTGCTCACGATTGGGATCTGGGTGAGTGCGGCCCAACCACTCATGGGACACGAAGATGACGAAGAAGTCCTCCTGGCGTCGGACCACTAGCCCCCTAGCTCTCAGCTCCTCGTGGCAGGGCATGGTGTCGAAAGTTAGGAAGTCGGAGACCTTTATCACCCACATGTCCGCGGTCGCACTCTTCAAAGTGTCGAAGCATTGCGGCATCCATTGCGTTGAAGGGGCTACGGTGCTCCTGGTTTTAAACATCCCTTGAAACGCTTGGCACTCGGGCAGTACGCACCAGAGAGTTCCAGGATGCGAAGGTGCGAACTGCCAGGGTTAGGGGTTTAGGGGTTTAGGGGTTTAGGGGTTTAGGGGTTTAGGGGTTTAGGGGTTTAGGGGTTTAGGGTTTAGGGTTTCGGGAACCCTAAACCCGCCTAAACCCTGGCCCTGAACCCATGCCCTACCTGATTACAGGTGTAGCCACTCACACACCCCTCTGGCCCTACAAGCAAGCGGGTCATCACTGGGTTATAAGTACAGATATGTTTGGGTTACTAAGTACCACCCTAAACCCTAAACCCTAAACCCTAAACCCAAACCCTAAACCCTAAACCCTAAACCCTAAACCCTAAACCCTAAACCCTGGGGAGGCTTCAGCGTAACAGAAGGCCTAACACTGAGGATCCATGTACCTGTATCGTGTATACTTGGGTGCAGGGCTTCGGGCCCTGAAGCTACAACATCGGAGCCCCTTCAAGGCCCCAAGTATATACTCTACTAGACCTAACCTGGGAATAACACAGGGTGCCCCTTTTTGTCTTAGAGGAGTTTATAAGAGAACCTGTACCCAAAATTGGGAAATAAAAGGGCCTCCTCTGGTTCCTAGACTATATGTGCATATTGCCCTTTATAAGGAAGAATGTTTTGCTTTTTCGGGGCTCTTAAGCAATTCGTAGTGGACCCTTTAGGGACATGAAACCCTAAACCCTAAACCCTAGCGACTGAGCCCGCTGCTGACGCTTCGCCATCGTTCACCAGGGCCGTGGCACAGTCCGTGTCGACCTCAGTTGGCAGGAAGCCAAGCTCCTGTCACCGGCTGTATTGGTTGTGTTTAGGGTTTAGGGTTCAGGGTTATTGGGTTTTCGGTCTAGGGATATTGGTTGAAGGGTTCTAGTCTTGAAAGCACAATGGGGCTTGTAGGTCATTTGCATTTGCAGCCTCCACATGCCACCGAGTAGCTGCACAGCGCCTTAGCTGTTCTTAATCCTAAACAGCATTAACCCTAAACCCAAAATCTAAAACCCTAAACCCTAACCCGAAACCCTAAACCCCATGACGGTGACAGGGAGTGTCTTTTGCAAGCCAAAAGACCCAATAACCCAAGAACCCTGAACCTTGAAAGTCCTAAGGCCCAAAAAACACTAACCATCTTCAACATGACTTGGAGTTTCATAGGCAGTTATGAGTAGGGTTCTATGTACCCTAACTAAGGTTATAGCCATAGATACTACATCTCACCCTACTTATCAGTCCCCATGAACCTCCGAGTAACAGTTGAAGATTCAGAGCTTTAGGGCTTACTTGCTACATATCATCTTGGTAGCCCAGTAACGATATTCTGCTAGGGGCACCCTGATTGGGGTTGGTCGCTTATATATCCTCAAGACGGTTCGGGTTTAGAGGGTAAATCCCTGACGCAAACATGACCAAAGCCCTGAGCCGTAGGTGTTTTGGGGTCTGCATCTGCCCGTCGGTATAGTGTTTATTAAGGGATTTCAGGTTAAGTAGGGGTTTGTGTTCGGTCTCGGTAGCTCCTATGTCTGGGCGATTGCTGTCATTGTCGGACTTCCTCTTAATTACAGCATCAGCCCCGCAGCAAAGCCAAAAACAAACCCCAAACTGCTAAGACCCCGAGGGGGAAACCGTACCAATAAAACGGGTCAAGAGTACCTCTGGACTACCAAGCCTTCCAGATTCCCGAAACCCTAGATCGGCAGCTCTGCAAAATATGGTCCATTCGTGCGTGCCCAGTGCCCAAGAAAACCTCCGCATTAAAATCCCCTCAACCCTCAACCCTCACCCCGAAATCCTGAGTGGGACCATCGTTTAGGGAGCCCGCGGTTTAGGGTTTAGGGTTTATAGGGTTTACAGGGTTTACAGGGTTTACAGGGTTTACAGGGTTTATAGGGTTTTTAGGGTTTATAGGGTTTAGGGTTTAGGGTGTGTCTAAACCCTAAACCCAAATCCTAGTAAGGCCTTTGGGCCCCCCAAAAACTCCAAAAAATGCGCCCTTGGAGCCTTAGGGTAACTTGGCAGCCCAGTATCCATATTAGAATAAGGGCACCCTTGTTGATAGGGAAACCTTGAACCAAACAAAAAGAAGAGGGAAAAGGGTTTAGGGTTTAGGTTTAGGGGGGTTTAGGGTTTAGGGTTCAGGGTTTAGCGTTTAGGGTTTAGGGTTTAGGGTACCACTGGTCTACAAAGGGAAGGGATTGAGGAATCCTCAGGCCCGGCCACTCTTGAATACTGGCCAGGACCATCTGCTCTAGAACTTCCAGGTCCTGCCGATCCGTGAAGAAAGGTTTAGTTGGGAGGTTCGCTTCCCCTTGTGCAAACAGTCCTTACTAGGGATGATAGGGAATGAACACCCTAAACCCTAAACCCTAAACCCTAAACCCTAAACCCTAAACCCTAAACCCTAAACCCTAAACCCTAAACCCTAAACCCTAAACCCTAAACCCTAAACCCGAAACCCGAAACCCGAAACCCGAAACCCTAACCCGAAACTCTAAACCCTAAATGGCCTTCTGTGCTGCCTCGTGATTCACACCATCCATCGCAGGAGGGATGCCACACAGCTTCCCATTCCTTGCACGACATGAAGCCTAGTTTTGAAATCATGTGATCATCTGGCGGTTTCCGAAATATGTAGTGAGTAGGGTGAGCAAGTTGGGCTATTTCTAGGGGGATAGTAAGTAGACTTACTAAGTGGGGGTTTACGATGTTAATGGTACTGTACCTTATTGCGGTCCTTGGAGGTTTATATTAGGGGTCCCTGATTTTCGTGAACCCCCCCTTTTACAAAGAGCTACGATGATTGTTGCTTAGGGTTTTAGGCTTCTTTGTCTGTCCCCAAGGTTCTTGACACAGCCAGCAGCGCTCAGTCCCAAGCCACAAACGGACTTTGCGTCATGGTTGGGGACCTCCGCCAGAGCTGCCATCGCAGCATCCGCCAAGCAGCTGATGTGCATCTTATGGCACGTTAAGACTTGGGGGTCGACGTATTTAACCTTAGTTGCTGAGCTCAGAAGCCCCCCCCCCCCCCCCCCCCAAAAAAAAAAAAAAGGTGCACACTTTCAGTTCTCTAGGGGGCTATCGTATCTCAACAATTTTAAGAGTGTACTCATTCATCTACTCAGTAGCTTCTCCCGACTCTGTCGTCCACCATCGGGTTACATACTTGCCGACCAACTGCCCTGCAATGTCCAGCACGGCGACCTTGATGTCCGAACGGCCATAGTCGACTCCAAGGTACACTTGCTGCTCCGCGGCCAGGTGGTGAGAAACCGACTTGGGAACCTTCGTAGCCCAGTAACCATATTATCATAAGGGCACCCCTTTTTGTCGATTGGTTACTTGATAAGGGAGCCTTGAACCAAAAAAGGGAAAAGGGTACCACTGGGCTACCAAGGAAACGCTCCGACTCCTGAAGGGCATGTGGCACAACTCGCCGAGCTTGCCCGGATTCTCTTCTCTGGTGATTCGCAGTGCCCCGAACTGGGCAAGGTTGCCTTCCAGGGCGGGATGCTCTGCAAAGAGTGCAAGCAATGATGGAAGCGTGCTGTCGCTTTCGCACACAACTCGCAGCGTTGACGTGCCCACGACTGCAGCGGCAATCGTGACCGCGCGCGCGAAGAGGACCCGAATTCCCAGCTTCCTCAGCTCATCTCCTTCCGCGGGAATCGGACATCGGTGAACGTATTCGCTCACAAAGTCGCTGCGGTCCGCAAGTATCCAGACCTCTTCCAGCTTGGAGGAATCAAACTGTGCGGCGATCTCCCGTAGAGGCTTCACGCTGAAGTCTGCCATGATTCTGGTGACAGACCTATATTACATGTATATATATATATGTATACATATATATATATACATGCATATATATATATATATATAAATATCCTAGAAGCACCCTCTCAATGTAACCCATAACGCTGGCCTGCATACCCAATTCTTGTGGGGCTGTAGGTTGCTAGTCTGGGTACTTTTGAGGGTCCAGTTGTAAGTGCGTACATCAAGCTTGAGTTTGAAGCGGAAAAGCGTTGAGTCAAGAAGATCCGGCTAAGCCCAAAATAACCCAGAATAGCCCCTAAACCCTAAACCCTAAACCCTAAACCCTAAACCCTAAACCCTAAACCCTAAACCCTAAACCCTAAACCCTAAACCCTAAACCCTAAATAACCCTAAACCCTCCCAAGAGCTGATTGGAATCTGGCCACCTTCGAAAACTCCCACCTCCTGAGGCCCTTGGAAGCACAGGGTTCATTGGGTGTAGGGTTTAGGGCTACATGGTTTAGGGTTTAGGGCTAGATGGAATAGGGTTTAGGGCTACATGGAATAGGGTTTAGGCCTTCATGGTTTAGGGTTTAGGGCTACATGGAATAGGGTTTAGGCCTTCATGGTTTAGGGTTTAGGCCTACATGGTTTAGGGTTTAGGCCTACATGGTTTAGGGCTTAGGGCTACATGGTTTAGGGCTTCATGGTTTTGGGTTTAGGGCTACATGTTAAGGGTTTAGGGTTTCGGGTTTACTTGCAGCAGCGGAGTAGCCCAGGAATAGCAAGGGCACCTTTGCCTTAAGGACAGCTTTAGAAACAAGGTTTAGGGTTTAGGGTTTAGGGTTTAGGGTTTAGGGTTTAGGGTTTAGGGTTTAGGGTTAAGGGTTTCCCTTACTGCCGAAGCTCTCGGCCTTTCTCCACGGGCAACAGCAGCCTCCCAGTCATGCTGGCCTCTCACTCTACGCGAACTTCTTGGTCATCATCTGGGCACTGCTGTACCGTAGGGTTCCCTTTTGAATTCAGGCTTTTTAGAAGGTGTCCTGTTTTCTGGGGACCCAAACCTCATGTAGAGAACTGCCCCCAACCCTAAACTCTCAACAGTAAACCCTAAACCCTAAACCGTACTTATCACCCCTCATCTGAACACCGGAGGGTTTGGGGATTTGTTCACCCGTGACGGAATGCACAGAACAACGGGTTGCTAGGAGGCTTAGGGCTTAGGGTTCAGGGCTTAGGGTTAAGGGTTTGGGGTCTAGGGTGCACCATCTCAAGTCCAAACGTTCATTCGTGAAGCTCGCTACAGTGGTCTCGACTATCTACCCAGCCACCCTTCAGATCTCATAACATTAGGAAACTATTTCGATTTCATAATCCAACAAACCTGATACCCTGGAACCCTAAACCCGAACCCTGAAGCGGGGGGTGGTTGGGGGGGGCGGCGGACAGTTTCTCAGCGCACGCCCCCTGTCGGCGACAAACTTGCCGCCGACTTGGGACGTGGGCTGAGAAATTTGCCGCGAGGCCACTGAGGTTTATGGAAATCTGGGAGTAGAGTTGGTTTAGGGTATAGGGGTTTAGGGTTTTTAGGGATTAGGGTTTAGGGTGCTTGGTCTCTTTGACAAGGAGGATCTGTGGCCCTTGCTCGGACTTCTTCGCCGGGAGCGAGGTCCAGAAATACCTTGCAGCTAAGCCCTAAATCCTAGACCCCGTGGGGGAAGGTGTAGGGTTTGTAGGGTTTGTAGGGTTTGTAGGGTTTGTAGGGTTTGTAGGGTTTGTAGGGTTTGTAGGGTTTGTAGGGTTTAGGGGTGACAAGAACCAGGAACTTTAAGTACTCAACTGTGCTGTCAGCTACTGCAGTAGTGGCGATGGCCACCATCTGCAGCACTTGGGCGGACTGTAAACACTAAGCCCTAGTTAAGCTGAAGCCCCTCGACTCTGCACCTAAAACCCAAACATTCATGGGTGCTGAGGCTTTTCTGTGCTTACTAAACTTAAGACCTTCCTAAACCCACTCCTTCAAGTGTATCAGAGGCAGCTACTGCAGGACAGCAGGGGTGGGGAAACCGACCCAACACCTATTGGGTTTCTTTAGGGCGTAGGTTGTTGGGTTTAGGGTTTAGGGTTTAGGGTTTAGGGCTTAGGGTTTAGGGTTTAGGCCTAATTACACCCCAAAGGCTTCCAGATGGGAGTCTTGCCTGCCGGGCGTGCTTGGCGAGCCATGGTTCAACCTGGGCAGCGTAGGACTGAGGGATGCAGGGGTTTAGGGTTTAGGGTTTAGGGTTTAGGGTTTAGGGTTTAGGGTTTAGGGGCTAGGGGCTAGGGGCTAGGGTTTAGGGTTTAGGGATGAAGGCTTTAAGGATTTCAGATTCGTGGTGCAGGGATCTACGGACTCAGGGTTTAGGGTGCAGAGTCCAGCACTTAAGGGTCTCTGCGCCTAGGGATTTAGGCCGCAAGGGTGCTAGGATGCGAAGGGGCTTAGGGATCAGGGTTTAGGACTTGGGGTCCAGGCGTTGGCGTTTGGTGCGCACAGCATCCACAAGGCATGACAACAGTGAAAACTTGCACCCCTAGCCCTAAACCCTGAACCCTAAACCCTAAACGCTAAACCAAAACCCCTAAACCCTAAACCAAAACCCTAAACCCTAAACCCCAAACCCTAAACCCTGAACCCTAAACCCCAGTCAACGTTGCGCAAGTGGACTGGGGTGCCTCGCCTTGACCCCTTTGAGGGAAGACGACATGAGGCCGACGAGTCTCTCGGGCCTGCATGCAACTGAACTGCTCCGAGGTTTTTAGGGAAGTTACATGGCCACTTAGTATGGGTTTAGGGTTTAGGGTTTAGGGTTTAGGGTTTAGGGTTTAGGGTTTAGGGTTTAGGGTTTAGGGTTTAGGGCTTAGGGTTTAGGGCTTAGGGTCTAGGGTTTGTGGTGAAAAAGGGACCCCTGAAATACCCCTAGAAAGCCCAAGGCCCATACTCAGGGACCATGTGACATCCCTTAACGGGGCAGCCCTATGAACCCTATAACCCTACACAAACCCTTTTCAACCCTTAAAGCCCTAGACAAGCTCCGTACACACCCAATATAAGCCCTGTAAAAACCTTATGCACAACCTAAAAAGAACCCTGGAGAAACCCCAGATAAACCCTGGATCCCCGAAGCCCTAAACCCTAAACCCTAAACCCTACACCCTACACCCTAAACCCTAAACCCATACTAAGTGACCCTAAACCCTAAACCCTAAACCCTAAACCCTAAACCCTAAACCCTAAACCCTAAACCCTAAACCCTAACCCCTAAACCCTAAACCCTAAACCCTAAACCCTAAACCCTAAACCCTAAACCCTATGCACACGATAAAGCGTGACGACATCGGCCTCCTGCGCAGCCAGAGCCCGAGGCCAGGCTTAGGGATTTTCGGGCTTTAGGGTCAAAAGGGTTTAGGGTTTAGGGTTTAGGGTTTGGGGTTTAGGGTCACTTAGCATGGGTTTAGGGTTTAGAGTTTAGGGTTTAGGGTTTAGGGTTTGGGGTTTAAGGTTTAGGGTCGAAAGGGAAAAGGGTTTAGAACACCTCTTGCCAAGGCCCCCTAAACCGAAATCCCAAACACTCGCCATGAACAATGCCAGGGTTCGGGGTTTAGGGCTTGGGGTTTTGGGGCTTGGGGTGCAGGGTTTAGATTAAACTATGCTCTTGGGTGTAGGGTTCAGCTTAGGATTTAGGGTCCCTACCTTGTATGAGAGTATTTCCAAAGACAGGGGACCCCTTGTATACCCCAACAGGGAGAAACCGCAAAAAGGTGCCATTTCTTTCGGACATCCCCATATACAGGATTCAGATTGCAAGGTTTTGAAAGTCCCTACACCCTAAACCTTAAAACTCTCAAGCCCTAAAACCCGAAACGGGCCTAAAACCCTTTTTAAACCCCTACACCTAAACCCCTAAAACCCCTAAAACCCCTCAAACCCCTAAAACCCCTAAAACCCCTAAAGCCCAAAAAAAACCCAAAATAACCCAAACACCCCCAAAACCAAAAAGCCCTAAAACCCTAACCCTCTGCCCGGAGCCTCCAGTGCGACTGGATCTCAAAGAGGATCTTCAGGCGCTCCACAGGATCCTGTTGTTGGGCATGGCAGCCCAAAGCAAGGGAACCCTAAACCCTAAACCCTAAACCCTAAACCCTAAACCCTAAACCCTAAACCCTAAACCCTAAACCCTAAACCCTAAACCCTAAACCCTAAACCCTAAACCCTAAACCCTAAACCCTAAATAGGGAGCGCTTGGGCCTCAAAGTGCTCCCTACATAGGGGAAGTGGGCTTCAACTCTGTAACAATATGGTACATGGAGCCCTGGGGTTTAGGGTTTAGGGTTTAGGGTTTAGGGTTTAGGGTTTAGGGTTTAGGGTTTAGGGTCTAGGGTTTAGGGTCTAGGGTTTAGGGTAAATGGGGAGCACTTGCCTGCCTAGGGATCTTGGGCTTCAATTACTGCCTCAGAAAACGGACCCCAAAGCCCCAATAAGTTGGGTTTCTGGGCTTTGGTGATTGGATTTAGGGTTTAGGGTTTAGGGTTTAGGGTTTAGGGTTTAGGGTTTAGTGTGAACCCCAAACCCCAAACCCTTAACCCCTAAACCAAAACCTCCACAGACCCAAAAGGCCAAGGCTGTGTGCCAGGGCAGCGGCTCGAGGCAGAGTCGTCGCATCCAGGGCGTGGATGGTGCCCTGGAGGGAGACACCCCAAACCCTACACCCTAAACCCACCACCCTTGAAACCCTCAACCCTCAACCCTCAACCCCTAAACCCTAAACCCTAAACCCTAAACCCTAAACCCTAAACCCTAAACCCTAAACCCTAAACCCTAAACCCTAAACCCTAAACCCTAGCCCTAAACCCCAAGCCCTTGGCCCGAAACCCAAAAGCCCAGGGCGAGGCCAGCCTCGAACTCGTCAATGTAAGCGCTGCCCTGGCAGACCGCCTGGCAACTTTCGTCGTGGGGCTTCAGGGTGTGGGGTTTCGGGTTTGGGGTTTAGGGGTTGAGGGTTTGAGGTGTAGGGTTTGGGGTTTGGGGTTTGGGGTTTGGGGTTTCGGGTTTGGGGTTCGGGGTTTGGGGCTACTGGGGTCAAAGGGCTCAGCACTTGTAAGCCAAACAGTCCCGACCCCCCCCCCTAGTGAGTGGTTTAAGGTCAGGGTTTAGGAACCCACTTCCCCCCCCCCCCCCCCCCCCGCGCCCTCCCCCTCCCTCTACCTAAACCCTAAACCCAAAACCCGACCCAACCCTAAACGACCCTAAACCCCCTACCCAAACCCTAAACTTTAACCCCTAAACCCTAAACCCTAACCCCTAAACCCTAAAACCCAAAACCCAACCCCTAAACCCAAAACCCTAACCCTAAACCCTAACCCCCCCCCCCCCCAAATATATACAAAAAAAACAAGCAGAAGACCTCCAGGACCTGCTCTGAGGTCATGTCGGTGCTGGTCACGTCCTAACGCATGCCGAGCCCTACAGAAGCATTAGCCCTCAACCCCTAAACCCTGTAGGGTTTGGGGTTTGGGGTTTAGGGTTTATAATAGGGTTTCGGGTTGAGGGTTTAGGGCTTAGGGCTTCGGGTTTAGGGTGGGTCCATGCACCTAAATGGGGAATACTTGGAACTCAAAGTGCTTCCTACATAGGGGAGGTGGCCCAAGCATAGAATGATAAGGTGCATGGACCCCCTTGAGGTAAACACATGACGCTGTTGGGTCGATGTTGGTACCTGTTCACAACACCTGTTCCCCCAAAAGAAACCACAAGGTAGGCTCCCTTTTCGGACTCGCTTTGTTGAGGGGCTTCATGAAAAACCACTTGCTATGCTCCCCTTAGAACCTTAATAAACATAATAGTGTTAATACGTATCCTCTTGAATTCCCAAGGGGGATATAGCTTGTAATTTGTGTGTTTTGCATTTAGGCCCGTCTATAGTAGAAGCCAAAAGGTTGGAAACTCAATAACCCAAACCCTAAGAGTAAAGTATAGGGAATACAGGCGCTATTTCTCCTTAAAAAGGTTCCAACTTTTTGGTGTTTACTGTAGGGTGCATGGTTTATCAACAAACTCAGAGAAAGCCCTCAACAGTACTCGCGACAGTAATCTTACGTAGACCTCTAATGCAGCTTCTTTTCAGGGGGAGTTAGAGGTCTAGGTAGCCCGTTTTAGCCACAACTACCCTACTTACAAAGCCCAGTAAACCCGAAACCCGACATGCCCTGGGAAGCGGTACCCCATAACGTGCCAAAACCCTAGATGATCGCTACAGTGCTCATTGCATTGCTTGTTAGGGCTAGGCTGTTCAAAGGAACTGAAAATTGCTTGATCATGTTGGAGCCCTAAACCCTAAACCCTAAGCCCTAAACCCCAAACCCTGTGAATATGTTAGGCTGTTGAGGCTTGGGAGAGGGAAGGCCTGGGCTTAGGGCCTGGAGTCCTTAAGGCTTCGGGCCGCGGATTTAGGGCTTGGGGCTTGTGAGTTTCGGGGTCCCTGAAAGCAAGTCTAGTTTTTTTGGACTAATAAAAAAGGGTTTAGGGTTTAGGGTTTAGGGTTCCGTTTTGGTTAAAGGGACGTCTATAAGGAAGCCGAAATACCCCCAAACAGGGAAAGAGAGCCTACTCTGGGTCCTGGGAAATGTGAACAGAACACCCCTGAGCGTGGGAGGATTCTCGAGAATGCCACCTAACGCCCCCCGTTCAACCAGCAGTTTTAAAGTGCGGTTTCGGGTGTGGGGTTTGGTTTACTGACCCTGCAACAAGGGTACTTGGAGCCTTCGGGCAACAACAAAACCTTGGGCCCTATCGCGACGTGCGCCGACAGTTGAAGCCCTAAACCCTAAACCCTAAACCCTGAACCCTAAACCCTAACCCTAAACCCTGAAACGCACCTTGAAGATCTGCAGAAACTCATCTACTTGCAACGCGCCGGAGCCTCGGCCGTCACCCTGAGGGCTTACAGGGCTTAAAACCCTAAACTCTAAACCCTCAACCCTAAACCTTAAACCGTAAACCCTAAACCCTAAACCCTAAACCCTAAACCCTAAACCCTAAACCCGAAACCCTGACCCCATGGGCTTTACAATCTCCAGTAGGAGTTGTAGAGTCTCTGCTTCTGCAGGCTAGACTGGCAAGTGTCCAATCTCCACCGACTCACTGGCTGCCCGTGGAAACCCTACAGCCGCCCTAAACCCTCAACCCTCAACCCTAAACCTAAACCCCTACAACCCTAAACCCTAAACCCTGAACCCTACAGCCGCCCAGACAAGCAAGTTCAAGGGTGGTGCCCGGCATCGCAGTGTTTGCCAGCCGGGGGCGCTTGAACCCGACCCTGCCAGGAAGCTGGGCTGCTGCTCATGACTGTCAGAGGGTCAGGGATTAGGGTTGGGTTTAGGGTTTAGGGCTAGGGTTTAGGGTTTAGGGTCCTAAGACCACAAATGCGGAGTGTTTGGACCCTTTGTTCACTTAGCATTCTAAGGCAACCAAAAGATGTATACTGCAAGTTCCTGAACCTAAACCCTAAACCCTAAACCCCAAACCCTAAACCCCAAACCCCTAACCCCCTAAATCCTAAGCCCCATCTGAAAGCTCAAACGGGCTTCAGGGTGCAGGCGTTTGGGGTAGCTGAAGGTCTTGAGTTGCAGGTTTTTGCTTCCAGGGCGAAGCCCTACACCCTAAACCTCAGGGCCTCAGGTAACGGTTTAGGGTTGAGGGTTTAGGGTTTAGGGTTTAGGGTTTGGGGTTTAGGGTTTAGGGTTTAGGGTTTAGGGTTTAGGGTTTAGGGTTTCACAGCACATGTCCCCCACTCTTAACAAGGTACAAACATCAAACCATGGCTCGTCGGTGACTTCATGGCATCGCTCGCCATTCTTCGCTCTTTAGTTCAACGACTGTGCCAGCCGAGTCATTCGTCCCATTGATTGATAGAGCTTGAAACACCAATTAACATTGGCAGAGGCATGCCTGTGCGCACCAACTCTGTCAAAGGAGACTCGCCATCAAGCATATGAGTACCTTCTATGTCTTCACAGCTGGCACACAGCCTGAGTTCCGGCAACAGCAGGCTGCTGCACATCAAAACGTTCTGGGGCACAACTTCGTCATCCTTCTCGTGCACCCACAAGTTGAGCGTAGGCCAAGGGCCTCCTTCAGAGTGTGCATCAACGGAGCATGTCATGTTGCAGCCGTTGAACACTACATCAGCAGTCTGGTCAGACGTGGTCATGAAGTCATCCTCTTCTCCATCGAAAAGCTCTGCCATCTCCCTGGGATCGAAGGAAAACTTGCTGAAGGTCACTCGGCCATCGACTGTGTCAGATGCCAGGGCTTTTGCTGCCTTCAGAAACTTCACCACCTCCCCCACGTGCTGGAACTCCATGTCGCAGTACAGGGTAACCGCCGGAATGCGGTGGAGGTCCCCCAGGCCAAGGAACCTCCAATACTTACTTCTCCAAAAACCAAGGGGCAAAAAAAAAAAGGGTAAACACTTTCAAATTCCTACTAAATATAAGCAAACCCAAACAAGTATAAAGTCTAAAGCTATTGGCCAAGAAACCTCCAAAGGCCCGCAACCTCCCAGGCGCCAGCTGCATGTCTCCAAGGGCCTTCGCAGGCGACGCCCCGGCACCTTTCCACGGCCTTTCCTGAGTTGCTGCGTTTATTAGGGTTTAGGGTTTAGGGTTTAGGGTTTAGGGTTCAGGGTTTAGGGTTTAGGGTTTAGGGTTTAGGGTTTAGGGTTTAGGGTTTAGGGTTTAGGGTTTAGGGTTTAGGGTTAAAAACTATAGAGTGCACACCTTGGGTTCTACAGATGATTCTAGGGCCCAAAATTAAAGTGCACACTAGTGGTTCTAGAGAGGATTCTAGTCTCCCCAAAATGTGTCAAGTGTACTCATTCAGCTGCCAAAGTCTCGGAGGCCGTGGGAAGCTGCCGCAAGCTGAAGGGCTGAGCTATCCTTAGTTGCTGAGTTCATAAGCCCCCCCCAAAAAAGTGCACACTTTTCAGTTCTATAGGGGGTTTTAGGGTTTTAGGGCTTAGGAGTTTAGGGTTCTACAGAGGCTTAGACTTAGAGTCTCCCCCAAAAAAGTGTACTCATTCAGCTACGAAGTATCGGATGAGACATCCAAGAGGTGCACAATGACCTCACTGAGGTCATGAAGCAACATGGCCGACGCACCGGGCTAGGCCCTTGTAGCGGGCGCGGGCTGGCGCTTGCAAACGACAACCAAGGATTTCTGTCAGGCGTGGGTGGTATATTTTTGGGGGTTTAAGAAAATAAGGGACCCCCAATATAGTCCCCAAATAGTAGGATTCCCTTAGAAGAAGGACCCTGATAAGGCACCCCAAACCCCCATATGTCCTGCAGCACTGCATGCTCGGCGGCTGGTGGTTTCACTCCCCCGAAACCACTGGTGAGAGCCAGACAGACAAGTTGAAGGCGGTTGCATTTGTCACCAGGTTTGGGATTCAGGTTCAGGCTTTACTTCCTCTGTCGGGCTGGTTTAGGGGCAGTTCTTTAATTATGGCCCCGTTTTGGGAACCGTGAAGATGAGGTTCCGCCTTTTATGTACCAGGTTGGTGCCCCCCGAAACCTTTTTCAACAGTAGTCCTAAAGAGAACATGCTCAAACCCAATAACGGGAAATAGAAGATATCCCAGGGGGCTGCAAAAAGTCAAAGCTCTGAAGCGGATAGCATGTGCTGGCAGAGTCATGCCTTCACAGCCCTAACACCGACATAGGGTATAGGGCCCTTGTACATTGTTTGCAAGTCATTACAAATTAGCGCCCTAAACCGACCCATTTTTTGCAACTCATGTTCACCCTTGTCGTGGATTTCCTGAGGCAACCTAGCAAAACAAACAGGGTTTTGGGCGCTGATCCAGCCCCCCGAAACCCCGTTTGAGGCCAAGCCTGAGTCTCCACAACCCGAAATTCAAGCTTAGGGTTGAGGGTTAGGGTTATCAGGGTTATAGGGGTTATACGGGTTTTTGGAGCCCCGAAATTCCGGTTTAGGTTTACCGTCTAGGGTTACGGTTACTTGGGTTAGAAAGGCCCAAAATGAGTTTTGGGGGGCCTTTAGGGCTACAACCCTAAACCACAAAACCCTCAACCCTAAACCCCAAAACCTACAGCCGCCCCAAGCACGCCACAGCAGCTTTGGTGGGGCCGGCTGCGGGAGTTCATAGCGCCTTCGCACCTGTCTGCCATTGCTTTGGAGAGGGGCTTCACTGACGGAACAGGATTAAGGTTGGAGTTTAGGGTTTAGGTTCAGGGTGTAGGGTTTAGGGTTTAGGGTTTACGGTGAGAGTTTATAGGGTATAGGGAAAAGGGTATAGAGTTTAGAGTTTAGAACTTAGCGATGGGAGTTGGGTTTATGGGTCTAGGGCTTTGGGCTTAGAGTTCAGAAACATAGGGCTTAGGTGGTTGGGGTGTAAGGGGCTGAGTGCTTTGTGGAGGAGGTTTGTTTGTGTCAAGGGTTTCAGATTTCGTGTTTAAGGTTCGCACCTGAGTTGCCAATGAGTTTATGGAAGCCGGAAGCAGCTGCTTCAGTTCTCTTTACAGACATTATGGAAACCAGCGATGAAATTCACATGCTGTGCCCTGAGGCTCAAAAACCCTAAACCCCAAAACCCGAAACCCCAAACCCTACACCCAAACCCTCAACCCTAAACCCTGAATGCAAAAGACCTCTGGGCCCAACACATCCCAAACTCAGAGTCCTCGGAGCCTTAGGGAGAAGGGTTGAAACAATCGCGGTCGCAATCATTCTCGAAACATGCACACAAGGTGCATACACCTCCAGTTTCAGCCTGAAACCCTAAACCCTAAACCTTCAACCCTCAACCCTAAACCCTCAACCTTATATCAACCTCAGAAGGGGTGGGTTTAGGGTTCAGGGCTGGGTTCTTCGGAGTTTTGGCTGCCGCCTTGCAGCGTGTAGGGCTTAGGGTTTATGGGATTCAGGGCTCAGGGTTTCGGGTTTCCCCTAAGCCCGCCTCACGCGGATCCTCGCTGAGGATCTGCAGCGCCCGGAAGTTGTTGATCTGGCAGTGTAGCGCTGGCTTCGGAGTGTCGGATTGCTCATAGTTCTCTATGTTTCATTGTGGCCGGGGCCCCTGTAAGAACATGGAGCATCGGATATAATACAGTAGAGACCCCACAGCATACCGTGGAGAGCTTATGCCCGGGTAGCCCACCACAAGTAACTAAACTTCAAAGGTTGCCGTGGCGCTAGATTTATGGCCCTGCCCCTGAGACACACACACACACACATATATATCAGGCCACGAGCACATTCAGGGTTTAGGGTTTACATAGGGTTTAGGGTTCAGGGCTTAGGGTTTAAATTGGGTTTAGGGTTTTAGGGTTCAGGGCTGAGGGCTGATAAAGGGTTTAGGGTTCAGCGAAGACTTTGACAGCAAATCCCTGATCCTAACCCACCTGCGCAGCGAAGATCTGGGTACTTCGTAGAAGGGGCTAGAAGTATTGTAACAGGCCTAAAGCCTAAACCCCAAACCCAACCCTAAACCCCAAACTCTAAACCCTCGATGATGACAGGCCCTGGGCATTCGGGGAACTAGACCGTTCAGAGCTTCTAGCGTTTAGGGTTAGGAATTAAGGTTCAGGGTTCGGGTTTAGAGGTTTAGGGTTTAAGGTTTCGAGGTTCAAAGGTTTTAGGCGTTCAGGCGCCAGAGGTTGTATCGAATGCGTGTCTTTCAGCTGTGCCTTCTGCTGGTCCAGCTTGAAGATGGAGCTTGCATCAGCTCCAACGCCCTGGGCGGCTTAGGGTTTAGGGATGAGGGTTTAGGGTTTAGGGTTTAGGGCCATTGAAGAACATAGGGACTAGTGACTCCGACGTAAATGTGCCAACACATACGCACTTTTGGACCCCCTACACTACACCCCTAAACCCCTGAAGCCCAAAAGCCCTTAGACCCGAAACCCCAAACCCCCTACACCCCTAGAGCCCATAAGCCGCAGCTTTGAGGGAAACTGGCACACAGCTTCCCTGTCGGCCTCCACCGAATCTCCGGTTCCTCCCAGCAAGCCAGGATAGGTTTAGGGTTTAAGGGTTTAAGGGTTTAGGGTTTAGGGTTTAGGGTTTAGGGTTTAGGGTTTAGGGTTTAGGGTTTAGGGTTCAGGGTTTAGGGTTCAGGGCCCTGAGGTGCAACGCCAGCACCAGCGACAGGAACCATTAACAGTCGTGTTACTTCGAACTCTTCTCCCCCTCATAAAAACTGGGGCTCTTTGACGGGGACTTTAAGGATCATATGGTGGTTTACGACGATAAGGGACCCCGAATATAGAGCCCCAAATAGTAGGATTCCCTTACTTATCCCCAAACCCTAAACCCTAAACCCTAAACCCTAAACCCTAAACCCTAAACCCTAAACCCTACCACAAAATAAGGTACCCCCAAAATCTCGGGACGCCCCCAATATGTGGATCGGGCACTGCAGGGATGCTTCAGGGGATGCTCAGAGGGAATTTCTGCAGAAGCTGCGAAGTGGGTTTAGGGTTTAGGGTTCAGGGTTTAGGGTTTAGGGTTTAGGGTTTAGGGTATAGGGTTTAGGGTTTAGGGTTTAGGAAGCCATGAGTAGCCATAACGGTAGCTTAGTAGTTCGGAACTTGAGATGTGTGCCCCTTAAACTGACAGACCTTCGTAGGGATTCTAGTCGGGGGTACTGTAGTCCCTAAGTAGTCAGGACTGTTAGTATAAGGGGGAACATCCCAATTCAGACTTTGCAAAGATTGTGGAGACTTTGCTTGCAAATGCGGTCTGATTCCCGGAAGGGGCGGCAGCGCCAGGGTTTAGGGTTTAGGGTTAGGATCGTTCCTGCACTGGAAGGCCTTGATGGAGAAACGCCGAGACCCGAAAACCACAATCTCAGGACTGGCCTTTAAGGGGTGTAAGAGTCCCCATAATCAATCCGAAAATTTAGGATTGATTATAATGGCTTTTAAGGGGTCTAATAGTCCCCATAGTCAATCCTAAATTAGGTTTACAGGGCCTTGTTAGGGCTGGCTTGTAAGGCTCACATGGAACCATAGTCCATCCTCTGATTCAAACTCTACATCTTGGGATGTTACCCCTTATACTACGAGTCCTTGATAGGTTCATGAGTCTTGTCTTCCGGATTGACCTTTAGGACGTACCATTCATCTCTCTCACTCTTGTTCCACAGCCTTGTTCACCCATCACACCTTGAGACCCTAACTCTCATATCTTAACCGGTGGAAAAGGTATTAGAATCCTGTACCACCTTGAGACCCTAATTCTGAGACCCCATTAGTACTAAATCCAGAGCCAAGATTCACCGGCTTAGAGACCAGTCCAACCGCAGCACCCATCACACCTTGAGACCCTGTTAACGCCTGGTCTGGATAACACTCGTCTTTTCATGAGTCTTACCGCTGGAGCTGGAACTAGATGCATGAGTCTTCTGGACGGGCTAGTAGTAAAACCATTAGAAGGGATGATAGTACCCCCCCTACTATAATCCCTATTAAGGATTGTTAGTAGTATACGGGGGCACATCCCACATCCCAATCTACATCATGTGATGAAGGCTGCAACTTTTCCGAGACGCGGCGTCAAATGAAGGACAACTTCAGGGTCCAACTAATCGAATTAGTCCGGCCGCTCCTGCTTCTGAGGGCGGCGCGAAACCATGCTGACGAAACCCTAAACCCTAAACCCCAAACCCCAAACCCAAACCCCTAAACCCCAAACCCTAAACCCTAAACCCTAACCCCCCCCCCCCTCCCAAAAAAACAAAGAAGAATGCAACATGTACAGAGGCGCTCGTTGGCAGCCTTGAGGACAAAATGAGACCTTGGCAGTGTCTCCCAACATAAGCCCGAAGCTGTGGGCTTCCAAACTGGCCCCGCAGGAGGTAGGGTTTAGGGTTTAGGGTTTAGGGTTTAGGGTTTAGGGTTTAGGGTTTAGGGTTTAGGGTTTAGGGTTTAGGGTTTAGGGTTTAGGGTTTAGGGTTTAGGGTTTAGGGTTTAGGGTTTAGGGATTCTAGGTTCCTCAAGGTGTGGCCTGCCTCGCAGAAAGTCCAGCACCTTAGCAAGGCCAATGGCAGATGCACGAAAGAGGGCTGTGTGGCCAGCTCCCCCGCGTTCCAGGAGCAAGCGCACCACCTCGACGTGACCCTTTAC